TTGTTCCCGTAATAAAATCCGCATCTGCATATTCGCACCGTTAAAAATTATACGAGTAATTACAAGAGCAGGTAATTAAAACATCAATCAAGAAAGTATCACGGTATATGAAGAAATTAACGGGACATAGAAGCAATTAATTTTCTGTTTTCCTACCACTTAATCTTCCCGCTTCTTCTTTCCCTCAAAGAGTAATATTAACCACCCCACGAATAACGAGCACGAGCTTGCGGCTATATAAATAGGAGAGACTCAAAAAGGGAGTTAGGGGAAGATAAAAAGTCATCTGCAGTCAAAGCACTGAGAGGATGAACAGGGTGGCATGGAGATAGAGATTAACCGGTCTGGACCATCTAAATATCTTAGAGGAAGTACTTAAACTTCCATGTATACTAACAAATCTTATCTTTCATATTTGTACATGATGCTTGCTATATTGCATTATTTAATAACAGTTTGGAGAAGCAGATTAATTTTAACTTCAATCAAATTTGATCAAATATAATGGTTAATTCAATCAAAAATGTAGAATGAAAGTATTAAAGCTTAATATGGATTATGGTTATGCAACACGGATTTTATAGAATACTCTCGTTATATTGCCGTTAGTGTAACATGTAAACTTTAGCGCTGATCATGTAAATTTTGAGTTTAGAAAGTGCAGAGAATACAGAGAATGCAGAGAGTTAATAGAGTAGACTCTCGCTATATTGCCGTCAGTACTGAATTCAAACGTTAATGTTGGACGTGTAATCTTGAGTTTATAGACTACATAAAGCATGCAGAATTTGTAGAGTACATAGAGTATATAGAGTATAAAGAATTGATAGAGTAGACTCTCGCTATATTGCCGTCAGTACAGAATTTAAACTTTAATGTTAGACATGTAATCTTAAGTTTATAGGATACATAGAGTACTCAGAGTTTGTAGAGTTCATAGAGTATATGGAGTACAGAAAATTAATAGAACAGACTCTCGCTATATTGCCGTCAGTACAGAATTTAAACTTTAATGTTAGACATGTAATCTTAAGTTTATAGGATACATAGAATACTCAGAGTTTGTAGAGTACATAGAGTATATGGAGTACAGAAAGTTTATAGAGTAGACTCTCGCTATATTGCCGCAAGTATAGCATCTAAACTTTAACCTTGGTAATATAATCTTGAGTTCATAGAATACATAGAGTACATAGAGCACATAGAGTTTGTAGAATAGTCTTTCGTTATATTGCCGCAGGTACAACATCTTAACTTTAACACTACACAAAATATTCTAACATCCAGTTATTAAATCATACCAAATTTAATATAATACCAATGACGTCACAACATTCAACAAAAGAGAACCTTACATTCTTATACCCACATTTGCAAAGTAAAATAAAAATGAACAACAGCAATAAATCGAACAGTCTGAAATTTTTGGTATAACCAAGATAAGCATACTTTCGTGATAAAGAGAAGTATTCGGTAACGAGGTTAATGATACCAAAAGTACGTACTCCGGTTCGATGGTACTTAATGTTCAGAACCACGGAACGCGATACGTTTCAGCCGAGATCGGCCATTTAAACGACCACATGGGCAGACAATGTGAGAGGCTATCAGCTTGTCGGCTTATCAGCACCGTACGTAACTGCGTATCGATCCATTTACCAACAGCAATACCGTGTACTGATTTCACGCTCGCGGCTTTCTATCGGACTGGGCCTAAACCGGACGGAATTTCGAGCCACGAAACGAAAGTGTTTTATGCAACCGGCTCCTCGCTCGTTCTGGCGCTTCGTTTTCTGGAATTAGGCCATGGTTTCCGTGTGCGGAGAACTGCCGACTTTACTTTCCATTCAGTGACATCTGCGGGATTACGGACGGATATGCGATTAAGCGATAGGTTGATACTTTTTCGGAGGAAATTGGGTTTGTTGTATGGGTTGGTAGTTTATGGGGATTTGGGGATTTTGGTAGTTTGATATTTTAGAGTTTGAAGGTTTGGGGATTTTGGGAGTTTGACATTTTAGAGTTTGGGCATTTGGGGATTTCGAAAGTTTGATATTTTAGAATTTCGGGATTTTTGAAGTTTGACACTTTAGAGCTGGGGATTTTGGAAGTTTGACGCTTTAGAGTTTGGGAATTTTGGGATTTTGGGACTTTGAAAGTTTGACACTTTAGAGCTGGGGATTTTGGAAGTTTGACGCTTTAGAGTTTGGGAATTTTGGGATTTTGGGACTTTGAAAGTTTGACACTTTAGAGCTGGGGATTTTGGAAGTTTGACACTTTAGAGCTGGGGATTTTGGAAGTTTGACACTTTAGAGTTTGGGAATTTGGAAGTTTGACACTTTAGAGTTTAGGAATTTGGAAGCTTTGGGACTTTGAAAGTTTGACACTTCAGAATTTGGGGATTTTGGAAGTTTGAAACTTTAGAGTTTGGGAATTTGGAAACTTTGGGACATTGGAAGTTTGACACTTCAGAATTTGGGGATTTTGGAAGATTGAAACTTCAGAGTTTGGGGATTTAGGGATTTTGGGATTTTGAAAGTTTGACCCTTTAGAGTTTAGGGATTTTGGAAGATTGGAACTTTAGACTTTGGGGATTTGGAGATTTTTGGATTTTGAAAGTTTGATAACTTAAAGTATGGGGATTTTGGAAGTTTGAAACTTTAGAATTAAGGGATTTTGGAATTTTGGAACCATGACGATTTGGAACTTTGAAATTTTTGAATTTTTAAATTCAGAGGTTTTGAACATTTGAGACACTGAGAATTTAGGGTTTTGATGATTTAGACTTTACTTTGCAATTTTGAACTCTCGAAACCATCATATCTGTAACATTTAAAATCTCGAAGATTTTGAAAATTTTTGTATTTCAAGTTTATATAACTTCAAAATGTTCACTAATCTAATTTCCCTATAAAAAGAACATTCAATACGGAAATATATCGCAACAGCATTCCACGATTATAAATGTTTGCACATAATCAGCTTTGCACCATATTAGGGTGCAAATTAACAGAATTAAACGGATTATTGATACAACCAATATCGGACAAGCTAAATACGTGCATTAACTGACGGATCGAATGAATAGCGTGCGAATTAAAGCAGGTCTGTGTTTGACTGTAGATCAAACTTTATGAAAATTTCATGCAAATATCTCTTTCATTCACTAATATCGCTGCATCGTGTGTTCCTTTATAATTCACTATACATTCATAATTATTCATCTATTTATAGTATACATACATGTATATTACACAAGTCAAACAAATAATTAAATTATTCGAATTTAATAATTACTTTAATTGTACAATTTTTATGTTTAAAAATATGTTCCATGACCTTTAAGTCCCTAAAGTTACTAAATTGTACACTCTTTAGATTACTAGTACTTTTATATGCTCTAAAATCCCTAGATGTATGAATTTCTTACGTCCTTGAATTTCCAGGTTTTTTAAAATCCCTAGGACTGTATGTCATTGGAAATTTATTATCACTAGATTTCTAGATCGCCATATCCTCAGATCTTAGAACCATATATGCATATTTCTAGAGTTCTATTTTTCTATAATTCTATATTTCTTTATCTCTAGATTTCTGGATTCTTTGATACCTATATCTCTAGATTTCTAGATCCTTTGACATCTAAATCCCTAGATTTCTATATTACTACATTTTTAGATCTAGTGGTACCTATATCCCTAGATTTCTAGATTCTTTGACACCTAAATCCCTAGATTTCTATATTACTAGATTTCTAAATCCACTGACACCTATATCTCTAGATTTCTAGATCCTTTGACATCTAAATCTCTAGATTTCTAAATCCACTGACACCTATATCTCTAGATTTCTAGATCCTTTGACACTTAAATCCCTAGATTCCCATATTACTACATTTTTAGATCTATTGGTACCTATATCCCTAGATTTCTAGATTCTTTGACACCTAAATCCCTAGATTCCTATATTACTAGATTTCTAAATGCACTGACACCTATATCCCTAGATTTCTAGATCCTTTGACACCTAAATCCCTAGATTCCTATATTACTAGATTTCTAAATGCACTGACACCTATATCCCTAGATTTCTAGATCCTTTGACACCTAAATCCCTAGATTCCTATATTACTAGATTTCTAAATGCACTGACACCTATATCCCTAGATTTCTAGATTCTTTGACACCTAAATCCCTAGATTCCTATATTACTAGATTTCTAAATGCACTGACACCTATATCCCTAGATTTCTAGATCCTTTGACACCTAAATCCCTAGATTTCTATATTACTAGATTTCTAAATCCACTGACACCTATATCTCTAGATTTCTAGATCCTTTGACACCTAAATCCCTAGATTCCTATATTACTAGATTTCTAAATCCACTGACACCTATGTCCCTAGGTCTCTATATTCCTAGATCTCTAGGTGCTTGTATCCACAAACCCTCATATTCCCAGATTTCTGTATCTATAAACCCCGTCTCCCTAGATCCTCAGCTATATTCCTAGATCCCTATATCTCCATATGCCTCTAAATCCCTATATCTCCATATGTCCCTAAACCCCTATATCTCCATATGTCCCTAAACCTCCACATCTCCATAAATCCCTATAACTCCACATCTCCTTAAATCCCTATAACTCCTTATATCCTCAAATCCCTATAACTCCTTATATCCCCAAATCCCTATAACTCCGTATATCCCCAAATCCCTATAACTCCCTATATCCCTAAATCCCCATATATATACACTTATCACAAACAATACCCAAGAACATTTATTTCCGAGTTTATAACTCGCAAACAATTTGTAACACCGATAAGAAACGATCCGATTGCAATAATAAACGCGATGACACGACTGCTGAACGACGTTTTATCGACGAAATATTATCAGTATTGTTTCCGTAATACTAAGATAAAGTGCGGCAAAAACGTTAACTCGTCGAGCCAATGACGATCAGTCGTCGGTGAATTAGCGTTGCACGCGCACGTCGCGATCGTGTCTCGAATACACGAATGCAAGTGTTCGTTCGTAAAGGGTTCGCTAGCGTACGGCTTCCCTTGACGGAATCGAATCTCGGACATCCTCATTCATCGCGGTAAATATTTACGGGCTATTTTCTTTTATCAGCCGACAACCGATAACGATTGTCATCGCGTTGTTTCAACATGTTCGTAACGAATGTTAAATACGTGCTTGTCATCGCACCTTCGTCGAATTCATTAGTTCTGCGTTTATGCTCCGTCTTATCGTGAAGCGGTGTGTTCAAATTAAGTTTATTTCGTGTAAAGTGTTTTTGAGATCTTTATCGATGTGATTTCGTAAGAACGCGAAATAGGAAGTCTTTTGTTTGAATATATTTATTGTTTTTATATATTATATTTTGTATTTATTATTATTAACATTTATTTAAACGTTTAGTTGAATATTTTTTGTTTAATATTCATACAGTTATTAGTTTTAGAACGTTTATAATACTTAGGTCAAGATAGATAAAGCAAATAAAAGGGGCGTTTTTCGGAGTGATCCAAATACTGGCGCCATACGGACATTTGGCGCCAAATTTGAATCGAAATTCGTGTCTCGGTGATTATCAAGTTTTATGCTTATCTACTTAGCAGTTTATCTATAGATACTTGATAATCTGATGTATCTAATGATATTTTTAATCATTTATTTAATAATCTACTTTAACTCTGCTTTTGTTTAATAAATGTATTTAAAGAAATGCAATCATGAATTCCGCAAGATGATATTTAATTTAATTTTCCTAAATGTAGAAATATATTTAAAGAAGTGCAATTATGAATTCTGAAAGATGAAATTAAATTTCATTTTCCTAAATATAGAAATCTATTTAAAAAAATACAATTACGAATTCCGAAAGATGAAATTAAGTCTAAGTTTCCTAAAAATAGAAATGTATTTAAAGAAATGCGACCATGAATTCCGCAAGATGATATTTAATTTAATTTTCCTAAATATAGAAATATATTTAAAGAAATGCAATTATGAATTCTGAAAGATGAAATTAAAATTAATTTTTCTAAATATAGAAATCTATTTAAAGAAATGCAATTATGAATTCTGAAAGATGAAATTAAATTTCATTTTCCTAAATATAGAAATCTATTTAAAAAAATACAATTACGAATTCCGAAAGATGAAATTAAGTCTAAGTTTCCTAAAAATAGAAATGTATTTAAAGAAATACAGCCATGAGTTCTTAAGAATGAAATTAAATCTAATTTTTCTAAAAATAGAAATGTATTTAAAGAAATGCAACCATGAATTCTGAAAAACGAAATTAAATCTAATTTTCCTAAAAATAGAAATTTATTTAAAGAAATGCAGCCATAAGTTCTCAAGAATGAAATTAAATTTAACTGAGGTTTGATTTAAAATGAAAAGTGAAATAATATTATGTTTTGAACATAGTACATGTTTTATTGCATCCATCTTAATGAGCCTCTTAACGAGTTTCTATTTCTATACCCAATTTTCTATGAAAGTAACCCCAAATGATGTAAATAAGAGACAAGAAATACCACAGTAAGATTCGATCGAAACATTCGAACCATTTACGAAAATCGAGTGTCGAATAAACGGGACGTGGCGCCTGATTAAAAAATTAACTATCCAGAATGCTTTGGTCCTCGGAGAAAAGAGGAAATGCCACGTTACGTGTTCCAGCCCCTACAACCAGCAGCCGAAGAAATGTCCCTCCAAACGATCGCGTCGTGAATCCTAATCGTTTCTCCGAACCATGATTTCGTAAATGTATCACGTACCACGCCGCAAAGTTTCCAGGCCAAGGATTAAAAAGGGCCTGGAGAATTTTTAAGCGACCCTACTGCTTTCTCGTTACTTTTGGTAACATACATTTTGCAAAATTAATATTGTATTCAGATTTACGAGCTTTTGGAAACCAGATGGAAATACGTGTTTTTGTCGTAAATTATTTTGGACGTTTTTTGAGTATTTTTTTATATCTAATCTTTCGTCAAAAATTGATGTTGTTTTTGTATTGATAAATTTGTTTTCAAATTTTTATTGTAAATTTTTGTAAAGTGAGTTAATTTTATTTATAAGCTTAAGAGAGTTACATACTTTTTTTTTGGAGTAATATAACTTTCTTTTTGCTTTTTATATTCTTGTGCCATCTTAAAAATATTTGCTTAAATTTCTGAAATTGGTAGATTAATTTCTGATCATTTTTAGTGACAGAAATTAAATGTAGTGAAGGGGGTAACTTTATTGATTCTGTAACAATAGTTCTGTACTATCAAAGCTTTTATCTTGCAATTAATATTATCGTAAAATATTGTTATCAATTTTTTATAAACTGCAATAAATCGAAGCATGGCGCCTCTTATCAATAGTTTTTTTTCAAATTACTTTCTATTAGATTGTAACCTATGATATTGTTATTTCTATTATATTCTATCTTCGGTTTTATAATTTTGGAAATTTACAAACTTTGAAACTTAAAAATTAGGGATCCACAAATTTAATAACGAAGAAATATTAAAATTTAGAAATTTGAAGATAAATCTGTACAGCTGAAAATTTAAAGATTTGAAAATTTAGAAATTTGAAATGTAAAAATTTAATAACCAAAAAATTTGAAAATGTGGGAATGAAAAATGTAAAAATTGAATAATCAAAAAATTTGAAAATTTCAGAATTCAAAGATATGTAAATCTACCACGTTGAAAATTTAAGAATTTAGAAATTAGGAATATCAAAAATTAATTAATAAAAATATTAGGAATTTTTTAAATTTGCAAATGTATAAATCCACAAACTAAAAATATTAAACCCTAAAAATTTAAGAATCTATTAAATTACAAATCTAAAAATATAAAAATTTGAAGATCAATCATTACTTAAAAAAAGCAACATCCCATGCATCCACAACGAACCTAACCTAACCAACAATGCAATCACTCGGTAAAATCCCATGAGAATCATGCCCCTCATTTTTCACCGGAAGCAGAATTAAAAATACCGTCAAAAAATACCATTTAACACCGCAACAATTAAAGTTCGCGAAGTCAAGGAGCCAAGAGGACGTGTTGCCGTCAGACCAGAAATCCGGGATACGAAATTAGCCACAACACGGGACGCCATGGAAACATGGAAATCGTGCTTAAAACTGGAAGAGGACACCACGGTGTTCCGTGGGGTATCATCATCCTCGTGATGATGTTTTCTGTTCCGTCGAGCATGTCGATGTTCCTTCTTTCTTCTCGTCCATTACGAAAGGCAAACGAAATTTCTTCGAAACTTCGAATTGCTTTTCCGCGCCAGTTGTTTAAAGCTCTGGAGAAGTCTCCGGAGAGATTTCGCCGAGTTAATTGATGACGATCCTCTTAGATACGGAGAAGAAACGAACCGACGTTTTGACGAGATTTTAGGGGCAGATAACGCGATGGCGAATAATGAAATTACACGGTGTACCGGGAATTTTCTTCGTCCGCTCGCTAATAAACGCGTTCTCAAGAACGCACTTGTAAACCTTTGTTCATGGTGAAATATATTGTGTATCTATGTATGTAGTTTTGAAGTACATGATTTTGAGCAACAATTTTAAAGACTTTTATGTGTTGAAAAAATAATAATTGAAGAAATAAGTGAATTTTTGTTTCGTTGTTGAACTATGATTTGATATATGTGAAAGTAGGATGAAGTCTATTATTAAAGTTAAAAAGAAAAATATAGAAAATATTGCATATTTATGTATTTCTAAGGATCCTGATTTTTAGCAATATTTCGAAGACTTTTATGTGTTGGAAAAATAATGTTTAAAGAAATAAGTGAATTTTTGTTTCATTGTCGAACTTTAATTTAATATATGTGAAAATAGAATGAAGTCTATTATTAAGGTTGAAAAGGAAAAATGTAGAAAATATTGTATATCCACATATTTCTAAAGACCCTTATTTTTAGGAACATTTAAAAGTTTTTATATATTGAAAAAAATAATATTGAAAGAAATAAGTGAATTTTTGTTTCATTGTTGAACTTCGATTTAGTGTATATGTGAAAGTAGGATGAAGTCTATTAGGGTTGAAAAGAAAAATATAGAACATAATGAAATCAGTAATACATAATAAATTGATGTAAATAAATATTTTAAAATAGCCTTCTAACATTTTAAAGAAATATTTTAGTAACTCAATGCAATATATTAATATTTGAATATTTTAAAGTAATACCATAACACTTAACCCTTTGCAGTAACATTTTAAAATTAAAAAAAAATATTTTATTACCTAAATATTTTTAAATAGCCTTATAACATTGTAAAAGAATATTCGAATATTTTAAAGTATCACTCTAACAATTTAAACCAATACTTTGCTATTTTAATTAACATCTTACAATTCCCTGAGCAATCCTCTCGCTCCGCCCCTGTTCTCCAAGGTCTTTCATAAGATCCCATAGAAATTAATCTCCCTTTGTTCCTCCGCCATTATACAGTCAGTCGATTTTTCACAACTAAAATACACTTTGCTTTCAGAATGGTGAAGATGACCTGTGACCTGCCTTGAGGAACATCTTCAAGAAATATGGCTTTGACCGTCGTACCCTCGGCCCGCGTTTTCAACGGAAACGGTGAGTTCATAAAACAATTATAATATCAAATATTATGAACGTCTGTATGTTTCAAGTCTTCTGTGTTTGCTTAATAATTATTGTTTCTAATTTTCGAGATCAAGTCAATATTACTATCGCTTTTGATGAAACAATTCAATATTTGTACGTGTTTGTGTGACAGATAAATGTTGACGTATTTCTTCGTTTGCTTTCGTTCTTTTATTTCCGTTTATGACAAGGTGTGCTCGCTAGAGCATTTACTGTTCTATATGATGTTAAGATATATCACATTTTGTTGATGACTTTGTTAAGTTTAATGATTATGTGGTAGTTTTTAGAAATTCGCTTGGGATACACATATGAACATACACATATGGATATACACATATGAGGTCTATTTTCAAATTCAACTACAGGCGACGAATGTGGAGATTGCCATTGTTTTTTATTTATTATCATTGCTTTAAATTACAAATTTAAAATGAGTAAAATGGATTTTCTCTACAAAGTTAAATCATTTACCTAACTTCAAAAAGTCATATGTGATGAGTCATATGTGAAGAGACTTTTTGATGACAATGTATGTCAATATGACATACATGTACATTCTTGTTTGAATGTCCCTAGCACATTACAGCCAAATAAACTTTAATATAATATATATTAAACATCCACCCATAGTATTCATATTAACCTAAATAGTTAAATAATGACATGGAATGAATCATACTAGCGATATATGTATATCAGAATAGTACACATGAGTGTTCGCTACTAATAACACTCCTATGTCCTAAGTAGTACTTTTACTAGTACTAGTAGTACTTTTACTAGTATTAGTTATACTTTTACTAGTACTAGCAGTATTTTTGATACTAGTAATAGATATAGACAATTGTACAGTATGTAGATACCCAGTACAATATATCCACAGCTCAATAGTTCCGATAACTCAGTAGTACCAAAAATAACCTCCACACATCCACGTCTGATACAACACCTTATCAAACTACGAGATCGATCCTCAAGATCGATCATTAGTACAAGTAGAAATGATTAAGTCATTGCCACGTACATCGCGATAGCATGAGCGGTCCAGTGTGACACGTAAATGGGATCCCCACGTTGTCCCGGCTAACGAACTTTGCCAGATTATTATTACCGTGCCTCTGGATGGCCGCCAATGGTTACAACATATTTCGGTTTACACTGAGCGTCGGTCGTTACCCTCGAACAATCAGCCGCTCATGATGTTGCTACTATAATCACGATCGATCTTACTCCTCCAAAGATAGATCCTTTCTGATGGGTTCGTCCGATCTCGGACTACTACTATTAACGTTTCTTTCTTGAGTTTATGCTTCGGGGTTGTATTTTGCTCTCCAATGTCTAAATTCTAAATTGAAGTCGAGATCATCGTGATGCCTTTTCTCAGGGTTAATTAATTCGTGTTGACGTCTTTGTCTTGTAAGATGCATAAATTTATTGCGGCGTGATATACTGTGTAAACTTCTGGACGACGCACCTGGTGCGTCATGTATTGAAACGTACACTTTATTTCTTAGTAAATGATCGTTCTATAAACTATACTTGTGTAACAACGTTATAGAAACATAATAATATAATGATTTTTAGATTGGAATCCTATAGAAAACGAAATCTGATATCATCAACTTCTGTCACACTACACGACGCACCAGGTGCGTCATGTATTAAAACGTGAATTTTGTTTCTCAGCAAATTTTCATTCCTTGAGCTACAGTCATGTAAACCAACAACGGAAATGTCATGATATATAGATATGTAGGATTGAATTGTATAGAAAGCGAAATCTGAACGACGCACCTGGTGCGTCATATATTGATACGTCCACTTTGTTTCTCAACAAATTATCATTCTTTGAACTATAGTCATATAAAACCACAATAGAAAGGTCATAATATATAGATCTGTAGAATTGAATCGTATGGAAAGAACATCTGACGCACCTGGTGCGTCATCTATTAAAACGTCCATGTTGTTTCTCAGCAAATGATCATTCTACGAACTACAATCATGTTAACCCACAATAAGAACGTCATAATACATAGATCTATAATATTGAATCGTCTAAAAAACTTGAAATTTGATATCAATAACTTTTATCAAACTGCATGACGCACCTGGTGTGTCACCTATTAAAGAGTCCACTTTCTTTTTCAACAAATAATCATTGTACAAATTATAATTATGTAACAATTGAAACGTCATAATATTGAATTGTATGGAAAACTTGAAATCTGATACCCTCAACTCTCAACCTAAATGACGCACCTGGTGCGTCATCTATTGAAACGTGCACTCTGTTCCTCAGCAAATGATAATTGTACAAACTACAATCGTGTAAACCTACGATCGAAGCGATATAATATACAAATTTTTAAGATTGAACCATATAGAAAACTTGAAATATCACAAACGTATACCTAAGACGAATCATAGATAATGAAAAGAGACAAATACGTATTTGTACAAAGATTACAACGAATTCTTTTTTGATTTGTTAATGATCACCGATGAACAGTGGGGACGCAGGCCTACGTTTCCGGTTCGACAGGTTCGAAATGCCTTTGCTGTCCTTACGGCTACCACATCGATCTGGACTTTGTGCGATACTGCGAAGCAGTTGCAGCAGGAAGTGCCGGCGACAGGTCTAGTATCGAGAGACGCAAGAAGAGGGAACGTCGAAGGCAATGTCAGTCGATGGAGGTTCTACTGGGTCTGGTAAATTGATCGCTTCATTCCATAATTAAACCCTGCTTGACGACTAACTCGAACCAAATGTAGTTTCGCGGTAATTAAAGCATAACCTTCTTTTCTGCTCGAAGTTCATTTCATACGTGACTGAACATTCCCATGGTGTTCACAGTATTAGAAGCTTGAGAGACTTCCAGAATGTAGTAGTTTATTTTATGTCTGATCATTCATCGTAGATCGTGTGTTTTCTTGACCACATGTTTATTGTCAGTGATCAGATGAGGGTGTTTAACCTTGAGCTATTTGAAATAACCATGATGGAGCTGTTTGGAATAACCATGAGTTGTTCGGAGTAACCTTGACGAGATTGTTTGAAATAACCTTGATGGGGTTTGGAACAATACTCATCATGATTCGACTCTTTAGAGAACTGTTACTGTAACTTTAAATGATTGTGTTCCTTTTAATGACTATAATCTTCTCCATAATTTAATTTCTTATATAAGTAAATTTACGTACTAAAAATTCAGTCTATTCTTCGTTCAAAAATAAACAAATATACATTGTCAAATTATTTTTCTTTAATGACTATAATGTCCTCCATAATTTAATTTCCTATATTTGACAGTAAATTTACGTACTAAAAATTCAGTTTATTCTTCGTTCAAAAATAATCAAATATACATTGCCAAATTATTTTTATAATATATAGTCCAGCAAAATAAAATAAACTCGCTTCATTAACTAAAATATTTTTAAACCTAACATTTCTCATTTTCAACTTGAAAGTCTCAGCAAAGAATAGTAACTGATGACACGATTTGACAAATCGTTTTTCTATGAATATAATCTTCTTAGAAACACGGAGACCCACATCTGCGTTGCACCTGGAATGACTACTCCCTGGATTTTCCCAAGGAGGATTAAAATTAATTTTATTGCCAAGTGAGGAGTTAATCCTAGAAAGTCCGAACAAGAAGGTGCATGTAGTAAAACTAACAATGAGTAATAAAGTGCAACGCAGAAATGTATAGGTAGGGAAGCTTCCCTCGGTGAAAGATGGTACCGTTACCCTTCGATGTTTAATGGAATGGAATGTTTTCGCTATGGAAATTATTGTACCGCGTCAGAGAGAAGAATTCACCCGTAAACGTGGATAATTAACTAATTGTAGGAGTTAATTAACCTTGTAGAATGAGTGTTTTTCAATGACAAATTAAATCGTTTTCGGAGAGTAAGAAGGTGATAGGCTAACTCCACAAATCCCTAAATTCCAAATTCCCAAATTTGGCAAATTTCGAAATTCCCAAATACCCAATTTCCCAAATTTCCAAATTCTCAAATTCCCAAATTTCCAAATTCCCAAATTCTCAGATTCCCAAATTCTCAAATTGCTAAATTTCCAAAGTTCCAAAGTTCCAAATTTGCCAAATTCCCAGATACCCAAATTCCCAATTTCCCAAATTCCCAAATTCCCAAATTCCCAAATTCCCAAATTCCCAAATTCCCAAATTCCCAAATTCCCAAATTCCCAAATTCCCAAATTCCCAAATTCCCAAATTTCCAAATTGCTAAATTTCCAAAGTTCCAAATTTGCCAAATTCCCAGATTCCCAGATTCCCAAATTCCCAATTTCCCAATTTCCCAAATTCCCAAATTCCCAAATTCCCAAATTCCCAAATTCCCAAATTCCCAAATTCCCAAATTCCCAAATTCCCAGATTCCCAAATTCCTAGATTCCCAAATTCCCAAATTCGCAGATTCCCAAATACCTAGATTCCCAAATTCCCAAATTTGGCAAATTTTGAAATTCCTAAATTCTCAAATTCCCAAATCTCCAAATTCCCAAATTCTCAAATTCCCAAATCTCCAAATTCCCAAATTCTCAAATTCCCAAATCTCCAAATTCCCAAATTCTCAAATTCCCAAATCTCCAAATTCCCAAATTCTCAAATTCCCAAATCTCCAAATTCCCAAATTCTCAAATTCCCAAATCTCCAAATTCCCAAATTCCCAAATTCCCAGATTCCCAAATTCCTAGATTCCCAAATTCCTAAATTCCGAAATTTCCAAATTGCCAAATTGCCAAATTCCCAAATTGCTAAATTTCCAAAGTTCCAAAGTTCCAAAATTGCCAAATTCCCAATTTCCCAATTTCCCAAATTCCCAAATTCCCAAATTCCCAAATCTCCAAATCCCCAACTCTATAATTTCCCAAATACCTAAACTCCCAAATCTCCTAATCCCCAACTTTATAATTTCCTAAATACCTAAACTCCCAAATTTCCTAATCCCCAACTCTATAATTTCCCAAATTCGTAAACTTCCAAATCTCCTAATTCCTAACTCCATAATTTCCCAAATACCTAAATTCCCAAATCTCCCAATTCCCAACTCTATAATTTTCCAAATGCCAAAATTCCCAAATCCCTAAATTCTGAAACATTGAAATTCCCAAATTTCCAACTTCCTAAATTCCCAAATCCTCAAATTCCTAACTTCCCAAATTCGCCAAAACATCTCAACCCAAAAATCCCATCTTAAGCAAAAAATTAAAAACCTTCAGCACAATAACTCTCCCCATAAAAGCAGGTGTCCCCAAGCTCCTCCGGTCACCTAATCCGCCCATCACCGTATAGCAGGTTAAAGATAACCCACGACCGCGGAACGAGCCAGACGAAACAAGCGTCAGGCATAATAAACTAAGTGGAAGATCGACAGCTGTCGACAAGGGAGGTCAGCTCATAAATTCCTTTGTTTCCTACGTTAGGTAAGCCCGGCCCTCGTCGGAATAGAGGCAGAACTGCCGAAAATACCTCAAGAAGCGACGACGAACGGTCTGACGACTTTACCGAGGTCGAGCCATGACAGACAAGGGTACACGCAAGAATCACCGGTCCTCGACCTCAGCGACGTCGTGGGCGACTTCGAGGCGACCCTGAAACGATCCACCAGGTCGACCAAGACCTTTGATAAACCGGAACCTACGGAAAACGGTCAGAGAAATTTGTATTTTTATTCGCATGTTTCCGTTTTCTGACTATTCGTTCGCGCACGATTAATCGTTTAGCTACACTTTTTCGTTCGAGCTTCTTTGCCTCTTTTGTGTTGTAACTTAGGATTCTTTAGAAAGAATAATAACCGTGCCGTGACATGCAATCGATCGTAGACAAGATTAATTTTTACGGTGGAAGAACGATAAAAAAGAAGGAGGAAAGAGATCCAATAATTTCACGCACATTTGATTTCCTCGCGCTGAATCCGCTCGGCCATCTTTGGATTCTCCATGGCCCAATGACCTGCTATACAATAATGCTGCGGAGAGAAATGCTTCCTTTACTTTTTTACTGCAATAAAATCGGTTAAAGAAATCCTTAGAATTGTTCGGTAATTGATTCAGTGGATTCACAGTCGAGCGGAAAAGAAACAGCTCGTTTGAATAATTTTTTAATTACGACGGTCGTAAAAAAGTTATGTGAGAATTGGAAAGTTTGAATTGAATTCTGATACAGTTGACTCTCGTTATATTGCCGCTAAGTGTAGGACTGTTGGAGTAGGTACATATTCAAGGGAGTTGATTGAAAATTCTCTTATATTGGAAAAAAATTAATTTTCAAGATAGTATATTGTTTTAGATATTTTTAATTGACTGATATTCAAGGTTTTGAATATACAAGAAATTTTTAATTCTCAAACTTAGAAATTCTACATACATTTCTAAATACAATTCTAAGTACATTTCTAAATTTGCAAATATACAAATTTTTAGGCATTCAAGTTTTTAATCTTGCGAGCTCTTAAATCCCTGAATTACTAAATTTCGAAAGTACCACAGTCTTTTCCTAAATTTACAGAAGTTCAAATTTCTAAATTTTGGAGTATTCAAAAATCTTGAAGATAAATTTCTAATCCTGAAATTCCTATATGCACACATCTCGAAATCTCAAAATTCTTAAATTCATGAATAAATTCCTAAAACTCTGAGTCCCTAAATTTTTGCATCCCCAAACTCCTAAGTTCCCAAATGTCTAAAAACCAAAATTTGTAAATTCCTAAATTTCTAAATTTCTAAGTCCTCATATTTTCAAAACCATAAGTCCCTAAATTCCCAAATCTCTAAAACCCTAAATTCCTCAAACCCTAAGTCCCTATGTTCACAAATCCCTAAATCCTTAAATTCTCAAATTTCTAAGTCCCCAAATTCCCAAAACCTTAAGTCCCTAAATTCCCAAATCTCTAAAATCCCAAAACTCTAAGTTCCCAAATTCCCAAATCTCTAAAATCCCAAAACCCTAAGTCCCTGAATTTCCAAATCCCCAAATTCCCAAATTCCCAAATTCCCAAATTTCCAAATTCTCAAAACCCTAAATACCAAAATTCCCAAAACCTTAAATCCTTAAATTCCCAAATGCCTAAATCCCCAAATTCCCAAATTCTCAAATTCTCAAATTCGCAAATTCCCAAATCCCTAAATTTCCAAATCCCAAAATCCCTAAATTCCCAAATCCCTAAATCTCTAAATTCCCAAATTCCAAAATTCCAAAATTCCCAAATTCCCAAATTCCCAAATTCCCAAATTCTCAAATTCCCAAATTCCCAAATCCCTAAATTTCAATACCCCAAAATCCCTAAATCCCCCAAACCTACCTAGCCTCACCCAACCTATCCACCTTAACACTAAACCTAGGGAATCAAATTCGCCCCAGAAAAAATCTTAGTTACATCAATAAGTCCATATGTCGAAACCATATGTCCATATATAAATAACTACCATTAATATTCATGAAAGTTCCCAGAAACGTGGCAATATAACCAGTTCACAATATTAGCAATTCACGATCAATGAAGCGACGTTCGAATGATTACGTTTCTCGTTTAATTATAGCCCGTCGTGTATGTAAGAAATATGAAAATTTCTCCTCGCTGGTTGCATATTCGCGTCGGATATCCACCGCTTCCGGGTGCCTCCAGCGGAACAGATGGTCTATTTTATTATCCGTTTAACGATGAAGAGCACACGAATAAATTTCTCTCCTCTCAATTAACAGCCTCGCGATCGAAAATCGAATGATTCGTTCGGTCAATTGAATTCTATCGTTCAAGCATTCGCGTCTCAAGGACTCGAGCTACTTTGACGTTGCATAAGGTGTCTGGTAAATAAAATGGCGGTGCAGTTCTGCGGAATCGATCAAATTAACGCTTCCTGATCATTATGGGAAGAGCGGTAATAACGGTTGCTTATGCAATTAATGTGTAATAAAAGTGCGAAATGAAATATTTATTGCAAATTCCGCTTGTGAACTTAATGACTGCTGTTCATTAATATTAACTTTGCTATGTATTTTTGCTGATAATTTTATTTAATCGTCTCTATAAACACCATCTCTCCCACATTCGTTTGGATAAATGTTTGAAAGAACATAAGAGTATGGATAAATATTTCGATAAATATTTAAAAAAACATGAGAGTGAAAATTAATATCTAACAGAACATAAAAATGAAAATTAATATCTAATAGAACATAAAATTGAAAATTTACATTTAACAGAATATAAAATTGAAAATTTACATCCAATAAAACGTAAGATTGATCTACACTTAATATACCTATTAATCACATGAGTTTTCTGGGTGACGCACATGGTGCGTCGTGCGGTATATAATAGGAACAATTGTTCAAACAAATATTAGCATGTTAAACGCTGTTTTGCAGTACGTCAAAGGAAACAACTGTTGTTTTATCTTCGATCCATTGTATTTCTTTCGCACGGTGTTCACTCTCTCCCGAACAACAAAGAGCCCCGGTTTTGCATACTTCGGTTGACGGTTCAGCTGACGAAAAGCGACAATCGCATCGTTTCTCACGAGACCGCGAACTCTATCCTCGCACGTTTGCAGGAAGATTCTCACGTTTCGCAACCTGCCTGCTTCTTGCTCCCGTTTCCTGTCTTATCGGTCCTCAGACAATGGGAACCTTCTGGAAGAGTCCTCGGGGAAAGACGAGAACGTTTCTTCTCTTCGATTTTACGCCACGATAAACTCGATTCTTTGAGAACGTTCTTATGAATCTTGCGATCGGAGTTATTAAGTAGATAATTTATTTGATCGATTTCTGCTTGATCATATAAGCTACTTTTTTTAAGGATAATGGATAGTGATGTACAATTTATACGACTCATTAACGACCAATTAACGGCTAAAGCGTTTCTGTTTAAATCGATGATTAATTCGTGGAAAAATGTAGTGATGTTGTTAGATCTGAGAGTTCTTAGATTTTGATGTATCTTGGATTAAGAATTTATAAGTCTATGTGTTCCTAATATTCTACATTTCTATATTCCTTCATTACTACATTCTTACATCCCTGATATTCCATCAGATTTTTTCTGTATATTGGTATCAGTATACAGGATGTACATAGGACGTATATGGGATGTATGTAGGATGTATATAGGATGTACATATACAATATCAATATTGCTGGCCCTGAGTATTCCCAGATCCAAGTAGAATACACATGTTCCAATCCACATGTTCCAATCACCCTAGATCCGAATATCCACACGGTCCGATACCTCTAGATTCAAGTGTTCATATGTACCGATACGTCTAGATCCGACTATTTGCACGTCCCAGTATCCCTAAATCCAAGTACCTCCACATATCAATATTCCTATGTTCGGGTATCCCTATGATGTGATAGTTCTGCGCCCCTGTAGCTCTATCCCTTCATATCTCTACGTTCCGATATCTCCACGTCCCAATATTACGTTCCAATATCCCTAAATCCGAGTATCTCCACATATCAATATTCCTATGTTCAGGTATCCCTATGATGTGATAGTTCTGCGCCCCTGTAGCTCTACGCCTTTATATCTCTACGTTCCGATATCTCCACGTCCCAATATTCCTACGTCCAGATATCTGAATGTCCCGATATTCCTACGTCCCAATATCCCAACGTCCCAATATCCCAACGTCCCAATATCCCAACGTCCCAATATCCCAACGTCCCAATATCCCAACGTCCCAATATCCCAACGTCCCAATATCCCAACGTCCCAATATCCCAACGTCCCAATATCCCAACGTCCCAATATCCCAACGTCCCAATATCCCAACGTCCCAATATCCCAACGTCCCAATATCCCAACGTCCCAATATCCCAACGTCCCAATATCCCAACGTCCCAATATCCCAACGTCCCAATATCCCAACGTCCCAATATCCCAACGTCCCAATATCCCAACGTCCCAATATCCCAACGTCCCAATATCCCAACGTCCCAATATCCCAACGTCCCAATATCCCAACGTCCCAATATCCCAACGTCCCAATATCCCAACGTCCCAATATCCCAACGTCCCAATATCCCAACGTCCCAATATCCCAACGTCCCAATATCCCAACGTCCCAATATCCCAACGTCCCAATATCCCAACGTCCCAATATCCCAACGTCCCAATATCCCAACGTCCCAATATCCCAACGTCCCAATATCCCAACGTCCCAATATCCCAACGTCCCAATATCCCAACGTCCCAATATCCCAACGTCCCAATATCCCAACGTCCCAATATCCCAACGTCCCAATATCCCAACGTCCCAATATCCCAACGTCCCAATATCCCAACGTCCCAATATCCCAACGTCCCAATATCCCAACGTCCCAATATCCCAACGTCCCAATATCCCAACGTCCCAATATCCCAACGTCCCAATATCCCAACGTCCCAATATCCCAACGTCCCAATATCCCAACGTCCCAATATCCCAACGTCCCAATATCCCAACGTCCCAATATCCCTACATGCAGATATCTCTATGTCCCGATATCTCCACGTTCCAATATGCCTACGTCCAGATATCTCTATGTCCCGATATCCTCACGTCCCAATATCCTTACGTTCCAGTATCCTTGCGTCTCAATACCTTGCGTTCCAATATCCTCGCGTCCCAATATCCTCGCGTCCCAATATCCTCGCGTCCCAATAT